AGCAACCAGCTATTCTTGGAACACCACCCTTCAGTACTGACGTATCGATATACTCATTATCGAGAAGGTATTTGGTCAACCTCGATGCCAAAACTGCTAAAAATATCTTTCCTTCTACATTGAGAAGCGAAATTGGCCGAAATTGACTGATGTCCTTGGAATTCTTTTCTTTGGGTATGTACACCCCTTCCGCTATCATCCACTGTTGGCTGATATGGTAATTTTTCCATGCTAATTTTAAGTTAGTATGTAACAATTTAAGAAGAGTAGGACATTTTTTGTACAGAAGGAAAGGTATTCCGTTAGGGCCAGATGCAGATTTATTCCTACTTTTGTCGACTATGCGTTTTATTTCTTCGCGTGTGGGCGGTTTCATATCAAACTTCACTTTAGGAATGGCTGGCCAAAATAGGTTGCTATTATGATCTAGAGGAATATGTCGTATAGGATCAGAGTACATACCTCTTAAATGTTCCTCTAGAACATTTTCCTCTATTTTAAGTACACCTGATCTTGGTTGATCAAATATATTCCTCGCATATTTGTAAGGTTCCTGGAAGAAACGCTCTTGGTCTTTCCTTCGTTTCACTCGTCTCTTTCTCAAATTTTCAGCTCTGCTAAGAGCGTTGTGTTTCTCTTTAAGGTCCTGCCAGATTTTAAGCAAGCCTTCTTTCTCGTCAAAATTTGCGAAACGGATTTCGCATTTTAGATTTCTTTTTTTGTTTCTCAAATCTTGCATTAACCGTTGACGCCTGTTCTTTTTGGGTGGTGGCTTATCATTTTCCTCTTTCCCGCCGTAGATTTCCTAACAAACCCTGTAGATTATTTTACTACTTTCGTTCAAAAGTTCGTGATATTTCTTTCTTCCCAGCTCTTTACGTAATGTCTTGTTAATGATGTTGTCTAGCATACATCACGCTTCCGAGTTCGATGCTGGTGGAAATTTGATTCTTGGCAGTTTGGGTTGCGTCCCATCCTTTGATTCAACAGCTTGGATATCCTCAGCACTGTGGTATGCATCCTGGCATTGGTTTTCCGACGTCTTATCTGTGTTGACAGAGCGCTGCTCCTGAACCGTTTTCAGAGAAGCACAACCTATTTTTGTAAGGTGAATCTTCGTTCCTTTTTGGGACCTGAATTTCCGACCACAAACACATGGGAAGTCCGTGCACTTTTCTAAATTTATGGTTTGTTTTTCATTGCGTGGTCGTTGCCGATTATTCCGTTTGGATTCATCATCCTCCCTCCCTTTCGGTGAATCCTGAGGGCATTTCCTTTTATATTCCTTTTTAGCAATACTTTAATGATCTCTGGGTTGCTGACCCGGTGAGGTCATCTGGTCTTTCCCAGCGTCCCCTGTCTTTCCAAATATTCCAAATATTGCACACTTACTATATGTAAGTGTGCAATATTTGCGATACACGTCATGTGTACAGTATTATAATTGTAATTTGTGTATGTATATTTATAAAAGTTTATGTAAAAAAAAAATTACAACCCTATGCCCCTTACCAGTACCTAAGAGCGAAGACTTTAGTAACATGGCCATTTCTTGATAAGCCTTGTTTTTGAGCCTGTTTGTGACGACGCTGTGTCTGGCTCAGTGGATTAAATCGAATGTTTGGAAAAATAGGATTGAAGAGGTAAACTCGTCGATTGGATTATAAGAACGGATGTTCAAACCTGCGAAAATTTCGTGGATCTTCCGATGTTTATATAAACGAGGTCGGTCTGGCCGGTGAAAATGAATATTTGTTTATGATTTTTCAGTGGATTGTCAAGGCATGGGATCAAACACATTAATTTACATTATCATCTGAGAGCGAAAGACACATGACCAACCAAAAATTACGTACAACATTCAGTCAGTCAGTTATGGGCCATGCGTGATACACGTTTAGGTGATCATGTATCCTTCAATACATGACTGACGACGCAGATTTTTTCCCGCAGTAGGTTACCATTTCTTTTTGCGGTAGACTAGTTGACATCCAAGGCTATAGAACCCGGTCTTTCCTGCTATTTGCCCATAGCTGGATGGGGGAGAAGAAGAGAATTCATACCTTTCCCAAGGGTATTAGCACGTAAGTGAATATCAGTTCAGTTATGTGCCCTGCGTGATACACACTTAGGCGATCTTGTATCTTTCGATACATGAATGACGAGGCAGATTTTTTTTCCCGCAGTAGGTTTTACACCTTTCTTTTCTTTAAATTTATTGTAAATAAACCAATTCTTTTTGTTCAATTTCATAGTCAATGTCTTTTTTCTTGTGCGTCTAATGAACCAAGTATTGATTGATTAATTGATTCGCTTTCTACGGCTTATCTGTAACGGAAAAAAAAACTCAGTTTACACATAATTACAGATAACAAATTAAAGCCAATATATCACTTCCCAGAGACATTTTATGACTTAAAAATAAATCTTTGGTTATTTAATCAAACAAGCGTCCAAGTTTGTTTCTTCTTCTCTAACCATCATTCCACCTCTCGTATTCAAAGTCCGACCTCTGAGAATCAACAAATTTACCATTTGTTGGTTACTTAAAGCCAGGAAATATTTTTAGATTGTAAGGATTCTTTGGATATGATAATGATTTAGTTATACAAGTCTTACTAATTAATATATTACTGGACGGAAGAAGAGGATTCATAGCTTTCCCAACGGTATTTGCGCGTAAGGGAATATCACAAAGTCAACTGGAATTAGAATTCGGCTTATAGTGGCGTGGGACTTCGGGGTTATAACAGTTTGTTTACCCACGCCAAGAATGTTAATGGAGGTGGGTAATGACGAGAAAACACACGGGTACATTTTTAACAAAACACGATAAGGTGTAAGCGTGCACACACCTCAGTCAGTCGTCCAAGACTACCACACCGCGGCTGGTCGCTGATGTGATCGCTTCAATCCAGAGCTAACCTTATCCCCAAGTTATGATTGAAGTTTAATCATAAGGCAGCCAAGATCAAATCGTCGCAGGTATTTTCGTGTTGGGTTGGTCCTAGCAGAGCGATGACGCACAGGAAAAAAAAAATAACATTCAAATAAATTGAACAAAAGTAAATACAATACTGGTTTTAAAACAGTCTCCATACAATAATTGGTTTATATCAATTGTTTGCATGCAGTGACTTAACAGCCAAGCCCACATCTAAATCGGAAGTGATACTATCGTCGACCTGGTACAAATCTAGTTTGCTGTTTTCGTAAAGTTCGGCACAAGGCTAAAATTGGAGCTTTTCTTCGACAGGCAATCACGTGACCTCTCTTCTGCCTCGTCCCCGGTCCGTCTCTCTGATCGGGCTCTCTCTGGCGAATTCGCTCTCGCGCAGTCGACATTGCCAAAAACTAGCATGGAGGTATGGTGAGTTAGGGACATTTCGGTGAATCCCCTCCGGCTTACGTCATAACTTTGGGGAATTCCCTTTCCAGTATCTTCCATCAACCTTTTCAGTGAATGTGGGTGGCTTATCCACCTACCTCCTGTCTCGAATCAACCTCACATCGACCTTCAAGTCTGGGTCACTTTTCCATTTATTCAAACTGCTCAACATGCAATTCAAGCCTTTTATATGTGAATTTAATCTTCAATTTTTTCGCATGGGTATTAACTCTTCTTGTTTCCATGTCTCTCAGCACATAATACTTTCTTCTGTTTTAACAACACTTTCTTCCGTTTTACCACGGTAACGGCAAATAGTATAACAGGAATTTACGAATTTACACGCTTGAACTTGTGTCAGTAGTTCATTTCAGGAAAATAAATCACAAATTTTTAAATTCCTTAGTTTTAATGAATTATCATGAGGAGGAAATGTTCATACAACAGATTAAATCATCTGATACAAAATAATATTCAAATATTGTTTAAAACAAGTTCGTGTTTGACAAGGGTTATACGGTTTCATACACTCGAACGTAGATGAAGAGAGATAGTTTGAAATACTTAGCTTTCTTGGACTGAAATAAAGTTCTTTGAAATGCCAAACGATAAGGACGATATTATAATCAGTGAGTAATTTTGACACTGGTGAAAATTTGAACGCTGAACGTGTGAACAGAAATGAAATCGAACGATTTCACGTATTTACGCGATCTTCTCACAAATGTACCACAAGACCGGTTTAACGTGGGTCTTTCCGAGCCCGTAAATCCGGGTAAAAATTCCTCGTAGAAACTGTATATACGGAGTCGGTAGCTGGTTATCATCCCAGTCGAGACTCTGCCCTTTGGCATAGTCACGTCTGGGTTCCTCTCTGCCCGAATCCCGAGGTCGACTATCAGTGTATCTCAAACGGACGCTCTTTTCTTGTTTTAATGTTTTATATAAAAAAGGATTTCGCATCGGATCGCTATTTTCATTTCTTTCTTTTTCTAGGATCAACGGCTAATTCGCTTGAAAACAAAGCTTCATTGGTCCAAAGAAAATTTCACACAAGCTCGAGAATTTCTTTCCGTCTTTTTTCCTCAATTAGTCTTAATTTGAAGAGAGTGGGTAAAGGGAGTTATTATTATTTCGTATTCACCACAAGATCTCCAAAATGAATGAATTAATCTTTTTATTCTATTTCTATAGGATTTAATTCTCATATATTAAGCCCACATGTTTACTATTATATTGTCTTGAGTGTTCTTTACAGTTTTTATTGGATTAAATAAAATGAAAAAAGAAAAGTTTTATTTTAAAAAATCGAATTAAGAGTCCGATATTTAAAAATGAATTTGTACGTTTCAAATATTCAAATACGCGAAGATTGGTTGTATTTTATTTTTAGTTAACAAATCAAACTGCTTGTAATTCATACGAATATGACTATTAACAAGAGTATTTAGAAAGGCAATGAGTAATCATGAAAATTGGTCTTGCAACCTGCTTAATATTAAGGAAAAAAAAAACATTTTCTTGGGTGTTCAAACATCCTGTTTTAAAGCTTTAAAGAAAGTTACATGAGACATTTTTGCGCATGTGTATTGATGCAATATTTTCTTTATAGGAACTGCTGCCACCCTATTTCGAAGAATGGAATGAACTGGCATCGAAAATGACTGAATTAGTAAAAGTGAATGAGTTTCGCAAAAGAGTTGATAAGGTAAGTGGAACTACATGAATATTTGAGTTTCCATTGAAGTTATAATTCAAAGTCGTCAGCTCAAAGGTCATTACACGTGCATAATATGATCAGCAATCTCGCTGTTGTGGACGTATTTATACATCATTTCAAAACTTATCAGGTCATCCCATAAGTTCTGTCCGAATTTTGAATAAAGAAAACAAGTGACCAAATGTTACATTTAATTACAGATTCAATCAACTTCCTTCCATCTATTAACAAGCTTACTAATTCCATTACTGTAAAATTCTTTTGGCTTTGATTCGAAGAACTCACAAATGTCAGTTTTAACCTCTTCCTGTGTTACAATAGCTGTTTCTTCCAAATGATTCTGTCAGCTATGAAATAAATGGTAGTCTGAAGGAGCAAGATCGGGAGAATAAGGTGGATGAGGAATTTTCTCCCAACCATGTGATCTTTTGTGACGTGATTCTTGCTGTGTGGGGTCGCGCATTGTCCTGATGAAACATCACCTATTTTCGATTTACTAGAGCAGGTTTTTTTCCTCAAAGCTTGGTTCAAACGCTTTAATTGCTGACAATATATTTGAGCATTAATTATTGAATTAGGTGGTAAGATTTCAAAGTGGATTATTCCTTGTCGATCCCACCAGTTTGAAAGAAGAACCTTTTGCCTATGAAGTTCCTTCTCGGCTGTGGCTGGGATCCTTCCCTTTACCAAAAAACACTGTCTAGGACGCTTAACATTTCGATAAAAATATCCATTTTTCGTCGCCAGTCACAAGTCTATCCAAAAGATGAAACAAGTTGGCGAGAATGGAGAGAAGAGCAGATGTCAACTCGGGATTTGAGGTTGTCTACAGACAATTTATGAGGCACCCATTTTCCAAGTTTAGGAACTTTTCCAAGTTGCTGAAGATTGCTGATTCTTCAACTGATAAAGCAGGATTTTCTTCAAGGGCTGCTTCAAGAAGCTTTTCATCAAACTCAACTGGACGTCCGGTTCGATCTTCATCTTCAAGGGTGAAATCTCCACCTCTGAATTTTGCAAACCATCTTCTGCAAGTTCTTTCATTCACACTTTCCTCTCCATGAACTGAGTGAATGTTTCTAGCCGCTTCGGTCGCGGAGTTTCCTTTCTTGAACTCATAAAGCATTATGTGCCTCAAATGATTTTTGGGTACTTCCATGTTAGCAGGGTTTTAATCAAACAAAATTTAATTTTATTGTTCTTTGAAATAAAATTTGATCAGTTTAAATGCATCTAAACATAAAAATAATGTTCAGCTCCATTAGACATTATAAAATACTCTTTAAATTTCGTTCATTTTAACAAAAAGTTAAAATTCGGACAGGAATGGGATGACCTGATAGATTGTCTGTTGTCAACGTATATATACAATTGCATGATACCTCGAAATGTCGCTTCATAGCGTTTGTTTAATAAACATACGAGCACAGTACTAGTTCCAAATCAGAGTAGATATATAGTAGCGTACAATACGACATGATTTGTGATGTGTCTTATTGTTGTGTCAGCGGTGTCGTTAAGCTTAGTCTGTACAGACTATCTGATTGAAACCAAAATGGCGATGTCCTATGGGAAATGTTCGTCAGTGTCTTTATAGTCAATTATTTCTAGTGACTGGAAATTTTTTATTTCCCCCCAAACGGACTAGCACCCCCAGATAAGAATGCTATAACAATCTAGCGGGTTTAAAAATTAAATTATGATATTAAAGAAAAAAAAATCATTTCTGTATCAAGTTACAGTGCGTTGATCTATCAGCCTTATATTACAGGATAAACATCGCTAATCTGGTATCATCGAGATATTTTGTACACTGTCTGTTTACCGGATTACTGATTGTTATGTTATTTTTCTATTTTATTTCACTGCTTTATTTTTCTATTTCTTTCTTAATACCAGGAACTGTAGATGAACTGTTTGATTTAATCTGATTTGTTTTTTACGGCTTATCAACCCTTTGTGAGTTATTTAAAGCCGAAGCATATTTTGGATTGTATTAAGAATTCTTTTGTTGCTGTTGTTGTTCTGAGTGAATATTGCATTAATAGTTATTGAGAATAATAATGATTTTTCTAGTTAAAAAAATCCTACTGTTTAACCAATAGCTGGGGGCGAGATAGATTAATACCTTTGCCAAGGGTATTTGCGTAGAAATAAATGTAACGAACCCGACTGGAATTCGAACTCAGCACTCGGATTTCTCATTCCAAGAGCCTTTCTATAATGTCATCCGGACGTCCACTAATGCTTCGACAAGACATGCTTGTGCCAAGTTTTCAGTCGTTAATGTATAATATATAGTCTTCATACTTTATTGATTGGGGTCATGACTAAGGTTAAACGTTGACGATTCTCAAAACCTGTTGATGCGGCAATCAGAGCCACCAAATACGAGTGACAGGTCCATGCGTCGAGCCGAAAATTCTGAAAATGGTCTTGTGGAAATTAATGCCAGATTACTGTCTGGTGGGTGAGTTGCAATTTGTGCTCGTCAATGATCTGTGTTCAGTCTCATAATAAATCTTCCTACTCTATTGTACTTAGGCCATACACGTGACGTTCTTTATTGAAGGCCAAGTAATTGTGCAACTCACGCTCAGGACTAGACGATTATTTCAAATCTCGTCATTCCATTGGTGAGCGAAAAGTTTTAGTTTCGGTTTACGGTAGTTCTCTAGTGTCGTTGGCTTTAGAAATGTTTGCCTTTTACATTTAAATTAACTTTAGCTTATTTAATTTACATATGATATTTATTTATGTAATGTCCATCGAATTTGCTACATTATTATGTGTTTTTGTTGCAAAAACAAACATTTTCGCGCGAAATTCCCTAAAAGCAATATAATTTAGGAAACCTGGTTTCGTTAACGTGGAAGTTAATTTAACATTTTTCACTTAAAGTTAATTTTAAATTCTTCTTTATTCATAAAAGCAAATAAACTAATGATCAACTTTATTTTTTGCGTATCCTGTATTTCTGTTTTAGTTTATAACAAATGAAAAAGAGTATGCTGATTTTTACCAGGTTTCATATAGCGAAATGCAATATTTTAATTTTACTTAGATTAACTACGGACGTTTACTACTATAATACTTTATTTACTACAAAAATTTAATGATACTTATTACTCACGTTTACTATCCCTTTGTTATTTCACTAATCCAAATCTTTCCGCCATATTTTCGTTTACGACCTAGTAGTAGTAGTCTTACATTGTTTGAATTTTGAGATGAAGGATTTTCAATATTAGTTTATTTTACTTTATCATGTTGCTGACAATATTATAAGTCGAATATCCCCACCCCATGACCTTTGAAAAAAGAAACTTGACAGGGTTTGACTCCGCAAAGCATAAACCTAGGGGTTTTAATTTTTCTATTCTTTTATAAATATATATTTCTATGAATTTTTAAAGATCGGGCTAGGTAGGTGATGCTGCTCACCAGAATTTTTGTGTTATTTTCCTTTGGTTTATAATCCCTGTTTGCAATTCGAAGGCATTTTTTAAAATTATTTTTGTTATTTTATTTTTTTTTATATTTTTTTTATTCTTTCTCTTTATTTTTTTTTCATTTTTTATTTTTATTTTTTTTACAATGTTTCTTGTATCCCCAATTAGAAAAACAAACAAATTTTCCTTACAAAGTTCACTAAAAATGTAATTTAGGAATCTTGGTCATATATTTAATATTCTTCTCTATGAAATTTTTATTCATGAAAGTAATGATCACTAATGATCAAATTTATATATTTTTGCTTAATCTATATTTCTTTTTATAACAAATGAAAGAGGTTTATTGAATCTTTAGCACGCTTCTTATATCGAAATTTAATATTTTACTTTTACTTGATTTAAAGAAATTATTTATTAATCCTATTTTTTCTAGTCTCTTTTAAGAAAAAATGCAAAAGAGATAAATCGTGAAAAAGCTAAAGGGAGATAATTGCCAAAAGTTATTTCCCTTGGTTGTAACTATGAAATCTAAATAAATGTACATCATTTTCATCGACATAATTTATAACGAATAATACATATATTTTATAGCGTCGTATTGTAAAGAAAAGAAACAACTTTACTGAAATCCGAAGGGGTTTGAGAATAGCGAAAGGTAACAGTCAGAAACTAAAATGAACCGCGTTTAAAGAGAAAGGAAAATGTCGTTAGAAAATAAAGTGTGTTGAATTGTTCTGTAACCTTTAATTACTTATATGGTGGGGAATGCAGCAGAGTGTTGTGGTTGTATCGCCAACCATTAAGAATCTGATGGACAGAACTCGTGAACAACAAGGAAGTATAACAGAAACTAGTAACTCTATGGAATTAACACATTAATTCCATTTATATTTTACGCGCGCGCGAGTTTCCTCCCTTTCTTTCACACTCGTGCGTGTGTGCGCGCGGTTTTTACCCCTACCTTCCACTCACAGCTAGACATAGCAGTAACCTCGTTAGCTCCTACTGATGGACTCATAAGAGATTTTGAATTTTTCCCGCGCGTTTTTCGGCGTCTCAAAAACTGCTAGCGTTTGCAACCAGTTGCCTTCCGACTTTCGACCTGACTAGATGGGCAACTCATTTATTCCGTGCCCTTAACCCATATGCGGGCCGGAATATCTTATTTCAACAATGGCGACTTCACACTCTACCAAGATTTCTTCTCGTCTTGAAGCTGCCCGCAGGTCAGACCTTCCCCGTTTTCTACCAGAAGACGTTAGAGACACACGACACGGTCGTGAGCAAAAACTTCGTATTCAACTAATGGCTTATTTTTATCCCTCGTCAGTGAACCAATAAATACAGACAGGGATATCCTACTGACGAACAACTTGCTAATCGCAGGTCAGACCTCCTCCGTTTTCGACCAGAAGACGTTAGAGACACACGACACAGTCGTCGGCAGAAACTTCGTATTCAACAGGTGACTTACACTTACACCTCGTCAGTGAACCAATACATACAGACAGGGATAGTATTACCTTCGGACAAACCTTTTTCGTCTCCCTGGGCTCGCCGTAGACAACTCCACAAGACCATGACCGAACTTTGAGTCCCTACTTTGAACCTAAAACACAAAATCACATACACTCTCAAATCATTGGACTCTGAACCAGTACCTTAAAAATATGCATAACCTCACTTACAACGCCAAAAAAATCCACAGTGAGTACTCCTTTCTATCTGTGCGCACATACACCTCGTGTCTAACGAGTTTCCTTTTCCCAGAGCCTTATAAAACTCCTTTTCCCGCCTTAGCCATCTTGTATTCCTATTTTGGCGCGGAACTTTTCATTAATCTCGTACCACGGGATAAGTTACTTGTTTTTCCTGCATTTAATAAAAATTAAAAATTACTCCAGTCTTTTTCTGTCATTCTGTGCCGGCTATCTTAATATATTTTATTTTATGCACTTGTTGATTGACCCCTTTCCTCTCACTGTTCATTCACGCATATTTTTATCTTTTTTTACATTGCTTGTAGACTCGGTAGTTTAGTGTGGTGTCTGGCACAAGGCCACTTCGTAATAAACCAGCACTGCACGCTGCCGGGTCTGCAACAACTCCATTGGCATTTCTATATACAATGAGAAAACGGAAGTTGTAATTTCTGAGAATCGTAATGAGGAAAGAGGATGTAGAAACGAAATTCTACATTATACCAATACCTTTCGTCAAATCTGTGCAAAAAGTGGATCACAGAACACTTTCAACTTCATACACATTAAAAAAAAAACCCAAAACAAACAAACAAAAAAAAAACAATCTCTAGCCCTCATTGGTGAATAAATATAAAAGTAGACGTGACTATCCACTCACGCTTAACTAATTTTTACAGCTCGTGACTGAAATCCAAGTTCGCGCCAAGTCTCTGTGAACCACCCGAAGCAAATAAAAACAGAAATTCATTCCCAATCGCCAGTGAGAATTGCGACATCAAACGAATTGCAACTAAACTTCACGTCACACAATCTTAAGTTTTTCGTTCATACGAACATTATACAAACTTAACGATATTCACACTCACCCACCAAAACTCACCAGTGAACTTTATTCCCATTCACTCACCAAATTCCTTACGCAGAAGTTAAACAAATCCCTGCTAACAAATCAACTTTATTTCTCAACATTCGAGAACATTGTATTACACAAAACAATCAAAGGTAGAAAACATTTACTACTTCCATGAACAGTAAATTCTTAAATGTAAATTTTTCTCTTGCAATTAATTTACAGAATCTTCAATATCAGATTCTAAAAAAAACATCCTTTCAAATCAGAACTCATTAACAAAATTTAATCTTTCACCAAACTTGAGTTCAATATCCACTACATTTTTGTAAAATATTTTCATTACAAAAATATATTGAAAATTACTTGTGATTCAAATATTTGCCTTTTGTCTTTTATCACAAATGTTTCTTGTTTTCTCTTGTTTTTGCATTTTTGTTTAACATATTCGTAGAGTAAAAATTGTATGGATTGATTTGGGCCGTCAACACCATTAAATAAATGGATACCAACAAACTTTCCACTACTATGGCTTAAAGAATGTAAAACTAACAGGACAAACTGAAGTGAAACAGAGGGAAACAGCGAATTTGTGTGAATGGTTGACAGATGAATGACAAAGCAGGAGGTTCAAATTACTTAGACGAAACAGAGGAAGTTGTGTAGAGCCATGATCAGCTATGTACTGATAAAAGAAGAACATGAAGAAGAAGAAGAAGGCCAACGTCATTTTTAATCCAACATTAGAATTAGCAAGAAGTAAGAACTAACAACAAGGCAGAATACATCAATGGCAGCAAAAGAGACAACCCCAAGTTGAAAGCTACGCATTGGGGATGTCAAAACCAAGCAAGTACTGACATTCTGCTATCTGGGTTATGCAGTGTAGCAAAAAAGTAAAATGAGACACCCATCTGGGTTATGCAGTGCAGTAAAAGACGAGGGAAAATGAGACACACATCTGGGTTATGCAGTGTAGTAAAAGACGAGGGAAAATGAGACACACATTTGACATATGCAGTGTAGCAAAAGACGAGGTAAAATGAGACACCCATCTGGGTTATGCAGTGTAGCAAAAGACGAGGTAAAATGAGACACAAAAAATCTGAATGCTCACAGGAATAATGGAAGATGCTAGAAAACTAAACAAATTTTAAAGGTAGATGACTGTGTCGTTAAAAACAATGCGAAAAGAACTGAAAAAGTGAAAAAACAAAACAAAAACTATCTAATCATTAATATGACACCCAATGCATGGCAATCGACTTACAGGTAAAAAAAGAGATTTGAAGCGATAGAAATCTAATTCCACCGAAGAGTACCGAGAAGACAACGAATAGAAATCTCGAGTACGCTATATAACCGAGTATAGTGCGCATTTTTACTATTAGCATTTTTTACGCCCACGCCACCAAAATAATGTGTCGTACAGGTACTTTTTTGAAGAGGTTAAAAAGTCAGACATTGTCGATGACCAGGTGGCTAGAAGCATCAACAGAGAGCCGCTTAGGTAACACATCACAGTACACATTTAAATAACCTCAGTAAATAAAAAAAAAATCAACATATGTGTATAGCTTTATACTTAGAATGATTTGAATTATCATAACCCGAAGTATGTACCTCAACACGTGAGACATCCGCCATTATGAATCGGTAATCCTGACAAATAGCTTGTCATTGGCAAAGCAATATATTAGCGATTTAAACACTTGCTAAATTAAGATGAATGCAAATTTGAGATGAGAAAAATCTATTAACTCTCCATTTATATAAGGTGTTCGCTGATTTTAAGTGACATACACAGTGGATGAGGTTTTGATCTTCATGAGGTTTATGATCTTCATGAAAGAGAAGAAACTTAGGCTCAGGGTAAAGGAGCGAGCTTCGTAAGGTATGAACACAAATAAAATTACGGTATATTAATCTTCGTTATAAGATATTTTACAGTAAGTGATTTTTCTCAGCATTTTGGGACAGCTTTGCACAAAAAATATATTTAGCATAAAATATGTCCAGAATGATGTCTGATACTGCAATATTTGACAACGTTAGGTCTATGAGTATTGCTCAGAAGCTGGGATCGCCTTATACCCGAGCTATATAAAAAGATCAGGTCTTTTACAAAATAATTCAGGGATCGCACTATATAGGAAATAGTCTTATACATGAGTATATAAGTTGATCAGAAAAAGTTCAAGAACATAAAAACTACAAGAAAACTCGTCATTATGGATTTATTTAATTTTGTTTGTTCACAGACATTTTTTATAAATTTATGAATTTCTTTAAAAAAATGATAAAAAACAAATACTGTGGAACCTCGGTTCACGAATTTAATTCGTTCCTGAAGGCCGTTCGTAACTTGAAATTTTCGTAAACCGAAACTGTTTTTCCAATAGGAATCAATGTAGAGAAAAAAGCCACAGTACAATACAATTGGAAAAGAAAAGCACAGTACGACAGATAAATGTATACAACATGGCGGTCGACTCAGAAATGATTCCGTTCCGGTTAACTCGGTTCGGCAATGTTTTTCGAAAACCGAAATTTTGTTCGATAACCGAGGTATTTTTATCTCGAATTTCTTGTTCGAAAACCTATTTGTTCGACATGTGAGATTTTCGAGAACGGACTTTGCTCTGTATTTCATTATAGTTGGTTCACATATTTTTTATAATATTACAAATATAAAATTATTCCTGCAAATAAGAAATCTAATAAATAAATGGTATTTAATATCTTTGTTTTTAATTCTTAAGAATAATAAAAATGTATCAATCTAATTTCATGTTTCGATTTTAGTAAAATTCAAATCGCCGTTTTTTAAAACAATAAACATTGCTGAGGAAATCAAAAGGGTATAGAGTACTCGTCAATTATAATATTGGCTTTTAAACAAGCAGGTGGCACTTCAAAGAATTTCCTCTTAACATACCAGGAAAGCTACGTATTTCAAACTATCTCTTTTCGTTTAATTTAGAATATATCCAACCCTATATCTATTCTATAAGCAGCGATATTCCTCACCTTTGTTTTAAACATCTTTTAATATTATTTTGAGTCAGATCATTTAATCTCTGTTGTATGAACATTTCCTCTTTATGACAATTCGTTAAAACTACAAACTTTAAAAAATTCTCATTTATTTTTCTAAAGCTACTGACACAACTTCAAGCGTGTAATTTTGTAAATAAATTCATGATATTGTTTGTTAAAATCATCCATGTGTTTCCTCGTCATTACCATCCTTTATGAATCTTCTTGACGTGTGTAAATCCGTTGTTCATTTTAACCCACGCCACTATCGATATACTTTCAATTTTTAATGACAGTTACAATGGATCTGTAGACGCCCTCTGTGTTTTTT